AGATGTCTCTAAAACAGACAGGATGCTTCATTAAGGTTTTGTATTTTCAAAACCCAACCAAAGCTTTTTATGTGCATGATGTCATTGGACTGAGTTATGGACCGTTATTGATTAATCTGCTGTTCATTTTCTAGATTAATTAATTATTTGTTTGATCATTTGAACATTAAAAAACTCCCATCACAATATAGCCCAAGGTGTTATCAGTTGTCCAATAGTCCAAAACCCAAAGACAGTCAGTTTAAAACCAAGCAAAGCAATTCTCATGTTTAAGAACCTACAACTATCATATGCTTGAAAAATTACTTCGATCGATCGATTTTCAGAATAGTTGATGGTTAATTTTCTGTTGATTAGTTAATCAGCTAATCATCACAGCTCCTCCAGGAAGCGAGGAACCTTTGGCTGGATTAGCAATTTCCATTCAAATGAATCGACCTGTATCGGCTTCTTATACTACAACCACAGGTTGTATGGCATGAAATAGCTCCAACTAGAGGTCTTCATGGGCAAAAAAACTTTGAGATTAATCGTTATTTTTGGTGGAAAACTGACTTGAAACCAATGTGCATACATTAATTTTCAAAAAAAAGAAAAGAAAAGACAAGTCCTGATCCTAAAGAAACCTGCAGATAATTAGACACGAAGCAAGATGTGTGAATGACACTGTGTGACTTCGAAGAAAAGGCTACAAATTAACAAGCAGCTGTGGTCAGGTATTCCATCTGTATTCCACATATTAACACACACCAGAGACAACAAACAGTGCGCACTTATAATTAACAAATAATTTGGAGCCTCAAATGACCTGGGAGGACCTCTTGTTTCAGCGCATTATTCCACCAAAAACTGCTTACTGTCATATTTACATTATTGTTTGTGTACGGAATAAACAAACAAGATATAATGTGTGTGTTTTTTGTGCTTCTTGGTAGTGAAGGAAGTCCTTACAGTGAGTATGTGGTTCGTCTGTTTTCTCTCAGTCCACCTGCATCCAATCTTTATGCTAGGTTAAGCACGCCCTGACTGCAGCTCTTTATGTAACACGTAGAGATGGAGATGGATATTGATTTTTTTTCATCTAAGTCTCAGAAAGAAAGCAAATAAGCCTATTTTCAAAACATTTTTTAAACTATTCCTTTTAGTCCCCCTGCCCCTCTTTTTTTTGCCATCATTGGAAGCTCCTCGCACTTTCTCTGTTTTCACACTGGCATCTTCTCTCCCCACCTCCCGTTTTTTCACACACACACACACACACACACACACACACACACACACACACACACACACACACACACACACACACACGGTTTCCCGCCTCGTTTTATCACCCACCCTCCTCTACATACCCTTATCCATCCATCTTTCTCTCTCTCTCTCTCCTCCTCTCTCCCTCCCTCGAGTTGATATCCCAGTCAGCCTTCTACCTCTGCGTTCTCTCACCTTGTTGCCAGCGAGGGAAAGTGTAAATTGTGTTGCTTTAAATACCCGTGTCTTCTTCGGGCTTGCAGCTTGAGGGTGGGGGGGGAGTGGATGTGAGGAAAGAAGAAAGAAGAGCAAACCACAGTGTTTAACTTAACGTCTGCTAAGGATAGATAGGTCTCTTCTTTCATTTTTGCAGCCCGGGTGTTTAGCCCGACTTAACCGTTTAAACTCTGGCTGAACTTAATTTCTCCCCCCTTTAACTTTGCTCTTAAGTAGTTTCAAAGCTAAGAACAGCTGTATATGTATCTGAGGCTTATAGGGGTCATAAGCTACTGGCGAGTGATTCTGTTGTGTTTGTGTAAACCAGTTTGGACCGGCGGATGGGTTGCGTGTCATTTGGCAACCACAGAAACTTTTATATTATTTCAAATAGTCTAATCTCTCTGGCGCCCATATTAATGCCCACTGCAGCTGACCACACCCATCACATCATTTAATGACTGCTTATGTCGATTTGAAATATTGCTAAAATATTGATACATTATCCTCATGCTCTTAAATTATACTCACACAGTGCTCCAACTAAATTAAACAAAACTTACCGGTGATTAATATTTGACCGATAGGACTAACAGGGTTGCTGCTGTGCTCATATACTGTACAACTTCAAGTGATTTGTATGCATAAGTGGAGCTTTAGATTAAAGATGCAGAGTGCAGTTTAATTATCATTAAAACATTTAGGCCTTATACTCAATACGAGTGAAATTAAACTTTCTTTATTGGGTTGCATTAATTGATATAGAAATGTTTTTTTAAGTCACTACATGCACAGTCTGACCTGTCGGCCAATGAGATCCACTGGAGTAGCTGGAGATTAAGTGCCTTGCTCGAAGCTACAAGTGCTGTCAGATTTGCCTCGTCAGTCCATGGATCAAACCAGTAATCTTCCGGGCACCTTCTCAATTATCTAACCTTTAGGCTGCCAGTGTCCCAGATCAATAATTTGTAATAAAAATAAAAGTAATTTAAAGGACCAAAATAATAAAAAGACAAACAAATGTGCAGAAAAAGCACACTTGTTGCCACTAAATTTATGGGATTTATCTGCTTCAGCTCTTTTGGACCAGTTTTTGGCTCATTATTTTTTACAAGAGCAAGCTCAGTTAGAGCGCCCAAGACTTTATTTCATTTTAGTCATTTCCAATTTTAGAGTCCGTGGTTTCCAAAAACTTCTAATATTTCAGGCTTAAAAGAAATTGTTGGCTCTAATATGATGCCTAATTTACCAAGTAAACATTTTATATAATGTGGAAGCCATGAAAAACATTGTGGGTCTGAATATTTTACTGAGTGTAAACATTATGACTGCTTACTAATAAGATGATGGGACAAGCAGATAGAGAATACTATATGTGACACACTTTAAAAGGAGAGGGGAAATTATAGTTCAACAGGTTAAAAGGCCCTGAGTTGAACAAGGCATTACCATGAAAAGGCTAAATATATCCTCTGTACATAGTTCTGTAGAAATGTGTCTACTTGAAAGCAGATATCTTCTCAAACTCTTTTCATGGCTGAAGAGCCACTAATTGACCACTGGAATTGTATTACCAGCACAAATGTCACTCTGAGCCTCGAACACAGGTTGTTCTTGGTCAGGACTGCCAGCACTCTGTGGCGGGCAAAGATAAGACACAAGTTTGGCTAACTTGTCGGAGCTCATTGTGGTTGGCTTGATGAGTGATGCACTGGGACAGCCAATTTACCCAAAGTGTTCATGCCAAGTAGAGGAGCTCTTGCGATCAGCCGCAAGAATTAGCCCAAGATGCTATTAAAGGAGACACTAATCCGTGGTGCACTTGACCACACGTTCAGGCCTCAGCAATCATGCTGCTTAGATAAACTAACCACAAGGTCAGGGCTGCAGTAAAACACCTCAGAGAGCAGGGCAGCGACTTACTCTGACAGGAAGGGCTCTGCAAGTCTCTGAGTGCCGTTTGGATCTTGGCAAACAGTGGCTGTACCTTTAAGATCTGTTATGGCTCTGAATCCTCCCAGAGGCAAACCTAAGGCCTAAGGTTTTCGTTCTTTTCTAATAACTTTTGTTTGCTAGGATGAACTGGCCATCCAGCTTTAAAATTACAACAAAAAGGAGATAGTAGTTAGTTGCCTGCTGCCCTCGGCTCATGTACTGCAAATGTGTGTTTTTGATGCTACACGCAGTTAGTTTGCTCGCCTCCTCTCCTGCATCCTCTCTTTACGTGTCCCCCCCCCCCCCCCCCCCTTTCATGTCTTGATGGGAGTTCCGCCGAACCGCACTTAAGCAGATGTTCTTCCTGCAGAAAAAAAAAAATCAATTCCACCGCCGGTGCAAGGATGCGATAACGCTCCACGCCGAATATAAACCTGTCTCCCGCTTGACAATTTGGTTCCAATTAAACTATTTATACACGCCATATTTTCAGGGGTGAGGAGACCGCTTTGAGGCATATCTTCTTATGAGATGTTCCCTCCGTTGGCTTGGTCTTGTCGTCAATTATGCCATATTTTTGTTTTGCTTGAGATTAGGTTGAGCGAGCACTGGCACGTTTCGTAGCGAGCAGAAAGGGAGGGAAGCGCAAAGCATGGCATGGGTGCACTTAAAGCCGTAATAACTTAACACGGCAAAAATCACCGTAGTGGCCGTGTTCGACATTACTTACCATAACGAGGGGTTACGTATTTTAGTATACATCTCTTGTTCTGAGTCACATAAGCGTCTGCCTCCCTCACTGAATGCAAAGAGCAGAATTAGCCTGCACCATCACCCGTTATCAAGGGAGTGCTGTTAAATACCATAATTTGAGCCAATTTGAATACCGTTACACACCCAGACAGTTCACTGTTCAGTGGTTTTTGTGGTGTTCCAGCTCCAGCTCCAGCCTTTAGAATCCCTTCATTATGCTGGGTCATTTGTATTCTCTTTCTCTTTCCCTCTGACCTGCTCATTTCCATAATGCCTGTCCCGTTTGAGCTTGTTCTGTACTAGCCGATACATATGCATGGCGCTAAAAACGGACACAGATATTGACAAAAGAGGGTTACAAAGCCATTAGAGGTATAAAACAGTGCTCTTGTTGTTGCTTTGACCTGTCGAGAGCCACTGCCTGTCGTGGTCTCTTCATCTTGGCTGGTCCCTCAGGTCATGCAGTCTCTAGATGCCTGGGCTGCTACTGACTCATCGCTCTAACATTGGCCTTGCAGACATACAACCAGATAGCCATTTGTCTGCTTTTTTTGTCCCTCTGACAGCATGTCCGTGTGTGTGCGTGCATTGTGTCTTTGCTTTCAGAAAGACAGATAGAGATATATAGATAATCTGACAAGCAGAGAAAAAGATGGGCGGGGGGAGATAGAGAGAAGAGGAGAGAGCGAGGCGAGTAATGCATTTTGTGGGTTTATCTGATTTGTGTGTTGGTGTGTGCTACTATTTTTGCTTGTGTTTTCATATGAACGCAGTGTCTCCCTGACTTGTCTCTGTTGCCTCTCTATTGCTCTGTCTTATGATCTCCCCCCCTCTCTCCTGTTACCTAGACGACGACCCCTTGCAGCCAGTGACCTCAGATGAGACGGTGTCCGTGGGGGGCACGGTGACACTGACCTGCCGGGTGGCTGAGAGTGACAACTCCTCACTGCAATGGTCCAACACTGCGCAACAGACCCTGTACTTTGGAGAAAAGAGAGGTAAGATAGAGGGAGGAATGGAGAGACACATGGGAGGACAAGAGAAACTATGAATGTGTCAATAAAGCAATCTCATCTCCTACAAAATAAATTCAAATACAACTTATTTGCTTTGAGATATGTTTCGGAGGGATCATAAATGCTGCCTACATTATGTTGCCTTGTTACATGTTTTACAGTCCAGGAAGTGTGACTTTCCTATACCACAGAGATGTTGTAAGGTGGCTGGGTGTATAAGGCACAGGTTTTTGACAACAGAGACATCTTTTTATTGTTAGGTTTAGTCTACATAAAAGGGATTGGTTACAGGTTGGACAAAGATTGTAGTTTTGGTCAGATATGTCAAATGTCTCTATGCTTCAAGTTACCTTCAATTTCCAGGAGCAATAGTTTAGGGAAACTGCATTGAAATATGTTGAGTGAATCCTTTGCAGGTATGTTCAGTTTGGACTTTTTGCATAGGCAGTGAACAGTTTGCAGATACTTTCATTATGTGTCACTTATCTGTATAAAATGCATATACGATGCAATTTAATTCACTTTTGTTTGTGCATAGGCACACATATGCGTCCCTGTTGGTCAAATCACAAATCTAATTGCAATCTGTTTTGTTTTTCTCGAGCTATGTGCAAATCAACATTGACCCTGCTCCAGTCGAGAAGGTGTTAATAAGGCCAAGAGAAAACATATGCACTTCAGCAATGTAGTTGCAATTAACAGTTGGAAACAGCAGCTTGGTAACTAACAACTATCTGTAAACTATCGCAAATGTGAATGAATTGTCTTTATGGACAAATGTTTTATATTCTTCAAGGGCTTTTATCCATGCCCCTCCCTCGCCCATTCAACCCAGTACTCTCTCAGATAAGTGCTACAACAGCTTGGTACACCTTTTACATGCATTTACACCTTTTCAGCATATGGCTACAATGTGTCTCGAGGAAGCAGAGTTCAGCCTGTCTTGAATGCTTCTTGGAATTAACACCTTTGAGATCGGAGTTATCCGATCTGCGCAAGATATGCATGAAGTAGTACCTACTGTAGGGTGTATGTTGATAAAAAACACAAGCAGAGAGGCCTTATGTTTTATACAGAACATATTTTTTATTGCATGTTAGTTCCATATGAATACAATTTTAGGAGACAGGCTTGCAATAAAGATGTTTGTTACTGCATCTTTGCTGAACAAGGCACTAATAATTACTTTGTACACACTGGATCAAAAGCTTTGTTCACAAGAAAAAGCCCCAGACAAAGACATTATGGAACTGAGATAGCAAACAACATGTTATTATAATATTGGACAGTACCAAAAGTGCTCAATAAATGCAACAAATGAAAACAAAAAGAAACCTCACAGTGTGATGGGCTAAAGTTCGTCAATGTGTCCAATTCAAACAGCGTCTTTTCAAAGAAAAACTGTCTCAGCTTTTCAGTAATCCATTTAGTGCTACTTGATGGCCTAACTGGCTGGTAAAAGCCAGGCTGACTTTAAATGATATTTTGAAAAGAGAGACTTCCCACTTCTCAGTGCAGTGGCCCAACATCACACAACAGACCCTGTGTTTTGAAAAGAAAAAAGAGGTGAGAGGGAGGGAGAGGGAAAATGACACTGTAAATAAAAACTGACATTATAAATATAAGCTTTGGTATTAATGATTACTTTTGACTGTTTTCGCTCAAACCCATGGTTCAAAACATTGTCTGGAGTGAAAAGGAACATCAACAGCAGCTAGTTTGAGTATAAAGGCAGGGCCACGATTGCAATAAAGAAGAAGAATTAAAAAAAATGCCCCAAAATGATAAAGTCAAAAAATTTGAAAGAAAACTTAAAGTCTAACAAGCTAAAATGTTAGCTGCAACTTTTTATAGTCTGTCTCTTTTCAATGGTCCAACATCACACAACAGACTTGGTATTTGGGAGTGAAAAGAGGGGAGTCTGGTACAGATGGAAGGAGGGGTGGGGGAGTTGGAGAATTAGAGACAAGAGCGTTGAGAGAGATAGAAAGATTCCCTCATGCACTAACACAACACTTAACAGCAGAAGTGAAGTGATAGAGAGATGGAGTTAAAAATGGCGAGAGTAGAGACAGACACACAGGCCGAGAAGTTTTCGTTGGAGAGAGCCAACGTTTTTTGCAGCAGACAATTTGGAGAGTGGAGAGGCGAGAGAGAATGGGGGGAGGTGGGGAAGGACAAATGGAGAGATCAGCAAGTCTTTACTCCAGATGGAGCTTCAACCACAGTGGAGAGGAGAGAGATAGAAAGGGAGGCTCTTCTCTGCAATGATAGAACACTTAAAGGCCGACCTCTACTTTGGAGGGAATTGAGAAGAGTATTGGAAGAGGAGGAGGAGGAGGAGGAGGAGCAGGGGGAGGGAGGATGGGGAAGAATCTCCCCACTGCAGTGGACCAACATGCACAGCAGATGCTGTACTTTGGGAAGCAGAGAGTTGAGAGACAGAGAGGGGAGAGGCGGATGATGGGAGCTAAGAATTCAAACCTTCAGTGTCTTCTCTTCAAAGTGCAGCAGATGGAGAAAAAAAGAAAGAAGAGAGGGAAACAAGACGAAGAACTTGAGGAGAGAGGAGGTAGAAAGATAGAGCAGGGATGGAGGTATGTGTAGTAGGACAGATAAAAACTGATGATGAGGGACAGAGCATGGAAGGAGGGGAAGAGTTATAAACTGAAGTCAAGACTTTTTGGTAAAACAGTAGCAGATGGAGAGAGGAAGGAATAGGACAGAAGGTCTATCAATTTTGAACCTCATAAGATGTTGATACAATGAAGAAAACCTGGGTACATTGTCAAGAACCTTTATAATCATGTACAGTCATCCATACATGCTGCTTGCATTGTTTTATTTAAAAATTTGGTCTCCAAAATAAAAAACAAAAATGTTATTTTCTTTGCCCCATATAATCATTTTCTATCCTTGAGCCCTTGTAGGCAAGACAACATTATTTATGATGGCTTGAAAACACAAAAGACTGTTGCAAACTGACTGTTTCCTGATCTGCCACTTAACCTTATGCTTAAGTAATTTCTGTAGCTAAACTCAACCAAAAGTTAACCTTAAGATTAGGGAATGCTCATGGTCATGCTTAAACCTGCCTAGGAGTTTTATAAAACAGTCTCAGTTTAATACTGATGCCTCTAGATGACCTACATAAGCACCCAAGACCATCAGCAAGAAGATTGGTTATTTATTCTTAATGTCTGCCACCAGGTCGGATTCGGTCGGATTCCCCTCGAAATCAATGAAATTAGGGAGTGGAAACACTACTGCTTTTATCCACTGCAAAGTCATTGCTGCTTTAGAAGAAGAAAGTACTTTCCTAAACTCGCATTCATTGATTTTTTGGCCACTTGGGGGCAGTGCAACAAGCTGTAAACACAAAACAGACATTTTATCTCCTTATCATCAAATAGTTTTGGAAAAGATGTTCGTCAACAACTCATCCAGGAGCAACAATAGCATTCATGTTTCTGTCCAACTGACAAACACAAGTCCAAGATTCTCTCTCCTTTAAACTCTATTTTCATTTCTTCTGAGCCTGAGGAGAAATGCAAAGTTGTGGGCTATATCTCTGTGGAATCGACTCTGTTCACATTGCACAGTCGTTTGATCTATGTTTAACATGGAAATATTAATTAGTGCCGCTTTAAGTTAAGGGAAAGTAATGTTAATGGTTGAAAGAAACAAACATTGGCTGTTACTGTACAGGATACGGGATGTGAAATGTGGTTTCCTGTTTCAAAGTCACACAAATATTGTTGTGATTATAACTGAACAGTTCCCAAAGCTGTCCTAATGTTCTTTGTGTACTTGTCATTAACAGTAAACGTTCTGCTCCTTTTGGGGAACTCATGACCGTCCAAAAAATTCTTGCTCGGTAGTTTACCGTAACTGTCCAGCCAAGAAGGGAAAGACGAAGGAAGGACAGACAGATTAATAAAGAAAATGAAAGACTGGAGGGATCTAAAAAGTGAAGCTGGGTGGAGGGACAAGAGTGACGGAAAACTCCTCAGCACTCTACTTTAGAAATGATAGATTGAGATGGAGCAGCAAGTCATCTAAGCAGCTGGCCTGAACAGCAAAGCACAGACAGCGGGCTTCAGAGCTAATACAGCATGAGATGGAGGGATGAGAGAAAGGAGGAAAAGAAGGATATACTAGTACAGGAATGGAAAGGGAAATAAATAAGAGAGTTGATTGAAGAGAGGAGATGGGAAAGGAGAGAAAAATCAGGACTCCTCAGCACTACGTTCTAACCCTGCACAGCATGCACCGGGCTTTGGAGAGTTCAGACTTGACAAAAATGGATAGGTGGAGGGAGCGCGGGAGGGGGAGAGATGGACGAACAGCGTGATGAGAGATAGAAGAAGAAGAAGAAAATGATGAGCGACAACTCCTCACAGTGATGGCCGCCACACTGCAGAGTAGAAACTGTACTATGGCAAGATCAGAGATGGCAAATTCAGAAGCCAGAAAGACGGGAGAAAGAGCGGAATAACCGAAGACAGAAGGATGGATGCTTGATTTTACTTATTACCTTAAACGCAGGTTGGGGGAAAACAACACACACATAGCCAAGAAAGCAGACACATCATCAAATTGAACTTAAGATAGAGAATAAGAGGGGAGGAGGGGGAAAAGGAGGGATGTGGTGGAGAAAATGGATGGAGAGTATGAAGACAGAATGGTAGATACATAATAGAGAGAAGAGAAGTGAGAATTTAAAAATGATATAGTGGATACAGGGAAAGAGACCTTGGATCTAATTTATAAATGTGAAGAATGATGAGAATTCATAGCCAAAGCTGTGATATATGAATTGTTGATGTTGATGTTGCATAATCACAGGGTCACATCACTTCGATCCAATTCTCTGTGGTAGATCGAAAGCTCAAGCTGACTTTTATCATTATTCAGGCAAGGAAAGCCATTGATATCAGTTTAATTTGACCCTGCTTTGCACAGATGAGAGGCCACAGACA